TTAGCGATCACATTTTCCATTAATTCTCTATTTCTTGCAATATGTATCAGAGATTGTATGTCGTTAATCCCTGTCCATTGCCTTATGTTTCGGAGCCAGGACATTTTCTTGCGTCCCATTCCTCCTTGCCTTCAATTTTACCCTCTATTATAAGTTGGAGGAACTGGTATTTTTCATTTCGCATGATTGTGACCTAGATATATGGAAGGCCGTTTTCCTTTTCTTGATGGTTTCGAAAAGTTGCCGTTCTTGGTTTATTCTTTTAAGGACATCTATATTTGTGATATTAGCTATCCATGGTATTTTTTAGGATACGGCGATTAAAGCCACATTTCGAAAGCTTCTAATTATGTTTATATCCCTCGTTTGAGTGTTCCAGCCCTCTACGCCATATAGCAGCACTGACCACACGTAGCACTTAGTAAACCTTAGTCTCAGTTGAAGATCGAACTCTGATCAAGTCAGTACCTTCTTGAGTTTCACGAAAGCTTGTCGAGTCTTGCTCAATGCGACATTTTACTTCCCTGGTCCGATGCCCAGTCTTCAAAAAGCCACGATCCCAGGTATTTAAGTTTACTCCTCTTTCAATGGACTTAGTATTCAGTGTTATGGTGAGAGTTTTCAAGTGCATCCAAGTTTCTGGAGATGATCATAAATTTGGCTTTTTTTGGGTATTAATCTCTAATCCCATTCGCTTACTGTATTTTCCGATTATAGTGACAAGTTGTTGAAGATCGACTATGTTGTCACAAATTAAGACACCATCATCAGCATATCGTATGTTGTTGATCAATACTCCGTTCACTTTGATTCCCATCTTTGCATCCTCCAAAGACTCTTGAAAATATGGCTTCCCGAATAAATGTTAAATAAAAAAAGGGAAAGCACACATTTCTGTCAAACGCCCCGAACTGGGTTTGGATATAGAATTGTCTATTTTTAACTTTGCCAGTACAAGTTTTTAATGCATCTTATGTCTTTTTGGTCTATATCAACTTTCTTGAGGATCTGCATTAACTTGTGGTGTTGAACACTTCTCTATGTCTAGTGAAGATTTAAGTGCTTCAGTTCTGTACAGGGTTCGGATATTCCATGACCCTGATCTTAATTCCATTTTATGTTAGCAGAGTCATCGTTGTAAGTTCCGTCCAGCTAATAGTTCCTGAGGTTCCGTAACATATCTTTCTTTACAGGAAAAATTTTTAATTCCCAACTACCCACCGGTCCTATAAACCGGTTACGGCGTTCCCCTATCCACCACCTTGGGATGCGTCCGACGGGAGACAGACAACTCCTCACGGACAACAGCAAATTTACTTAGATATAAATTGGAGCTGGAAGGTCAGATAATAGAACAAGTGATGGAATTTAAATATATATACATTACATTATCTAGCTACGGAAAGCTCGAAACTAAAGTGGAAGATCAAGTGAATAGAGCAAACAGAGCCGCAGACTGCCTAAATGAAAGAATATGCAGAAATAAAAATATCGGGAAAGAAATGGAAGGCAGAATTTACAAAACAGTAAACAGACCAATAATGAAATACGCGGCAGAAACACGACCTGACACAGAGAGGACAAAAAGGATGTTAGAAATAGCAGAGATGAAAAAATGGTGGTAAGACACTATGGGACAGAGTTAGAAGACATACGACGAGATGCAAGGTGGAGAACATCAAGAATTGGGTAACAAATAGTAATAGTAGAATAAAACAATCATATGAGCCGCATGACAACAAACAGAGTAGGGGAGAGGTGGGTACAGTGACACAGAAAAATTTGAATTTCTGTCATTCGCTAGACCATTAATAGGATTTTACTTGCAAATATCAATTTGGACGTGTTATTGTGTTGCAAATTACATCATAGAATGACTACATTGCTATGAATTAAAGAAAACAAATAGAATTTAAAAAAAAGTCTGAAACTTTGCATTGTGTCAGTGTTCCCTGGTATGAAGGGTACACTGACACAAAGACATTTTTCAACTGTAATATGTAAGTATTATTATTTAGGACTAATTAAACAATAAAAACGTATCTTTATTATTGATCTATAGAAAAATATTATAAATGCTTGTTGTTTTCTATGAAATCAAGTCCGTTTTAACATTAGGAAAAAGTGTCGACCCTGCTAATTTTTGGATGGTCCAAAATTTTTATAATCTGGTTGTTGAATATAACACCAATGTCTGTGACACATGGAAACACAAAGTATGTGACATTTTTTGAATTTTTACGTAAAAAACTGACTTCCATCGTACCAATGGTGTTTATCACCACAACTTTCCCATTATAATATTTTTCATATAATATTTGAATGGGCTTCATATTTGAGTCTCACTAATAAGAAATCATTGATCTTAATGTCGCAAATTTTGGCTGGATCTAATGTCAAATCACATAGGTCTTCATCATCACTATCTGAAAATATTTCACTTCCCTCTGACGTGTCAGAATTATGGAGACTATAAGTTTTACCATCTTCGTCTTCCGACTCAATAACATCATCATGTTTTTAATGTCTTCTGAGATTATGCTTCTTTTAACTGTTTTCGCTTTTTTGGCTCTATTACTTTCAATTTCGTTCTCTGGAGTGTCAGTAGCAATCATAGTCTTTCCTTTTTTCTTCTAGTTTTAACCGAAATTGTCAGACTTTTTTTTGGATATTCACGAATAGCTGATGGACTCCTAAATGTCAATTTTCTTCCACTTGTGGATGAAGGTGACAATTTCTGTAATGGAGTTACGTCCTGGTTCTTGATAGAGTTATCTGTGGTACCTCCTGTCGAGGTAGATGGTTTTGGATCAATATTTGGTGAATTAACTAATGGTCGTTCTGTAACTTGGCTTGCGAAATAATCATCATCATTAAATACGTGACGGTCAAAGGGAAATATTCCAGTTTTTTTAAAAGCTGCCGATATATTTACAGGTGTCATAGATCTGGGGTAAGCGAGTCCCACAAATGATGCTACATGGTAGATTGTCACAGGTGTGCCCGGATTAGCTTTTTCCCACGAACTTAAAGCATCGTTTGTAAAATATATGAAACGGTTTTAGCAGACCCACATCTAATGGTTGCAACCGATGGGTGCAATGAGGAGGCACAGTCAAAACAGTGACCCCATTATCTTTGCACAGAATGATAGCTTCAAGAGATATATGGCTCTCATGGTTGTCCATGATTAATAGTGAAGGGTTAGCTTTTGAACTACAAGTATGTTTAATGAAATATGTTAAAACTTCAATAAAACATTCTGTGTTCATCCATCCTGCTTTCGTAGCCAAGCCTAACGTCCCACATAACGCTCCTCGCCAACATATGGCTTTTAAAATGGACTCTCGGAAATACCATTACGGGTGGGATTGCACTTCCATTTGCACTTACAATGCAGCATGTGGTAACAAGTGTACCTCTTTCACTGCTTTGAATTTTAGACACTTGTCTAGTGCCTTTTTTGGCTTGCACCTTTGTCGAATTGTTTTGAACTGTCAAAGTTCCGGTTTCGTCTAAATTGTAAATTCTGAATCCATTTGAAAAATTTGGATCTCGCTGTAAAACTATTTCCAACTTATTACAAAATAAGTTTACATTTTCTTTATTGAATCCTGCTGCTCTTGCTAGACTACATCCCTCTGGAGTTCTTAAGGATATTGTACGATGTCTATGGCGAAATCCTTTATACCAGTCGACTGAAGCTTTTTTTTCCTCCTCCCAATTTTTTGGAATTTTTAATTTATTTGCTTTCGCTAAGTCATATGAAAGTTTGCGACAATCGGTAATCGTTAAACTGTAAAACATTTTTGAACACGTTATGATATAATCAACGAGAGCTTCCTCTAGTTTCAAAGAAAATATTTGGTTTATTTTATAGTTAGGAGCCATTCGGCATTCGGGATCATCTCTGTATTTCTTTACGTATCTGCTTACGGTTTTAAAGCTTAAGTTTTTCTCTCTAGCAGCTTGACGAATTGATATACCACTGATAACTAGATTGACTGCTTCCCTCATAGAATCTTCATTGAATCTACCCACTGTCTTATTCGTTTTCTTCTGACGTACCATCTGTAATGTAAATTCATAATTAACAAAAGCTTCTTAGACCCTAATATTGATTTTCCAGCACTCATTTGCTGTCAAGATTTTATAAAATTCACAAGAAGGGTACAGTGACACATCGTGTCACTGTTCCCTATCAATATTCGTGTCACTGTACCCACAATGCTGTTTTATACAAAAATTTGTAATTTTTTGTTAATCTACAAAGATTTTAAAGAAATTTTATTGCTATTACTTACATTTTATACGACATTTTTTACGACCCAGAACACAATCCAATAATTCAGGTTTGTTTCCTCGTAGTAAACAACTAAAAACACCCTTGACAAAATACTTCTGCACTAACAAAACACAAACATGCGATTTTCTCCAAACACAACAGATTCCTGTCAATCATTTTATAAGACAAGTAGTATTCTATTATACCAACTGTAAAATTCCACAATATCACCAACTTGCTGAACATATTTTCTACTAGGATTTTAAATGTGATCACTGTTCCCGCCTTTTCCCTACTAAAGATGGCAAGAGACGATTCCCCAATAGGAAGACGATCAGTAGGAAGACCACGAAAACAATGAAAACGATAACTTACTGGAGCCACATTGAAAAACAGACAGTCATGTCTATATAAAAAGAAGAAGGGAAGACATTTGCTGTTTCAGAGATTACTGTCTGCCATGGAGCATTAATTTTTGGACAAACAATTTTTGGCGCCATCATTGGAAATAGAGGAGTAATGGAATTTTTTTTCTGTAATCTTCAAAAGTTGTATAAGAAAATAAAAAAAAATTAATGCCATATATATACCCAAATTACAAAAAAAATTGTTGAAAATTTGTCACTTTTTACATTCAAGACGGTAGAAAAACCTTAACAATCCCGATTTTTTGTGGGTAGGACTAAAGTACTAACATATTTACTTATTGTTGCAGGTAAATCATCATATGTCAGCGCACCGTCGCCCGCGCCGCCAGCTGACGGATCCTACTACAACATGTCCGACAGATACTTGTCGTACCCTCCACCGTTGGACTTTCAGAGTCCACCACCAATCCCAGCCCACCCGCATATGACGCACACGCACGCACCAATCACCCCGCCCTTGCCCTCCAATGGATCCTTGCTTCGTCACGCCAGAGGGGTACCACCACCAGATGTCCTGCACAACACAAGCCAGAATAACCAAATCCTGCAGGCTCAAAGCTTGTCCCAAAAACGCGAGCTAACTAGTTTCGGTAACGGTTACGGCGTGAACGAACAGGAGGGACATCTTGTCTGAGATCAGGAGGAAATTTTGTATGTTTTGTAAAGTTCGTTTTTATTGCGCGTGTTTTTGTCCAATACTTTTTAAAATGAGCAAAGACTGGTGTGTATATAATAATAAAAAAACTGATAAATACTCAATTCATGTGATTTTGAAAATTAATATCATTGCAATAGTGTGTAAAGACGATTATGAAGGTAGAAAATATTTCAGTATGCGCTTTTTCTCAATCGCGGTTTGAGAGACATGCAAAGTGTTACAGGTTTTAAATCAAAAGTGATAACTTGATGGTTTGTTTGAGTAAAAAATGTTAACTTGTGTTTTACTAGAATTTTTGTTTCTTTATTTTTAGTCATTAATAGGTTTGATCTGAACACAGGCATATCCAAGATTTTTTATGTCTATGTTGAAATATTTTTCCAATGTTTATCTGTAATGTTTTAATGCGCATGTGGCGTCACCATTCATATGTCAACTGCTGACTGTCATATGTTACGTGTCATCCGGTAAAGATGAATATCGTATTAAATGAAAGATAGTGGATATAGTTTTTTGTTTGTAGGTATTGAAATATTTTCTAAATGCATTTAGTGTTTTTTATTATGCTGACTAAATGTTTTTGTGGCTACTTTTTCCTCAAAGGAAAATAGACTGATAGTTAAATCTTGGTTTTTTGAAGTTTACTAATAAACAATCAAAAGCTGATAACAATACCTAACAATAATATCAAAATTAAAAATCAAGATGGAGTCCTTTGAGAGAAACTGCCTCATTTTCGGCCATTGTACCGAAATATTTTTGCTAACTGATAATCAGTTCTAGATAGTTCTAACTAATGTGATCTAAATATGTAAATTTATTTAACTTTTGTTAACGAGATAACATTTTAAAACTGTTTTGTGAATAGAATGCAACCAAAATTGTACGTGTGTTCATAACTTCTCAAGGTGTTTTCAATCTTCAAACTGAATGAAGCAACATCATACATTTTTTCAAATGTGCAGTTTCCTTCGTTTGTCAATTGTATCTTTTTTGTTAAAGTTATTGATCAACATGATTCCCATCTAAGCTAGTATTTAACTGGACAATTGAGTAATGGAAAATTAGTTAAAAAAATTTCAATTATCCGTCGTTTCCCTCTGATTATTGGCTGGATGTAATTGTTTTATGCATTTTTAGTCAAATTGACATCGTTTTCAGCAATTTTCAAGATAGAAGATGTTTTCGGTGTCTAAATAATCCTCAGGATTAACTCAACATAGCGTTGTCGCATTTTCAGATTCTGCAAGCTCTGTGTTAATTCTTTCAATTTGATATTAACCGAGTTATGTCTTTCAAAAAGTCCTTTAGGTAGACATCAAAGTGGAGTAAGTCCATTTTGTCATTACTAATAATATTGGGAGTTCCTAGAGGTCATGAACTCTGGTGCAATATTGGTTTTTCCTTATAATAATACATTCTTTTTAAAGTTGTGTACATAGTTAAGTTTTATTTAATCAAAAAAATAATTTACTAGTCCAAATGATCAACCAAAGTGTTATTATTTCTTGTATAAATTAATTTCTTAGGCAAAGAAATTGCGACGAGAGGTCTTGCGTACTTTTTATTTTTAATACTTTGTATGTTACTAGGAAATTCTCATGTTTCATTTTTTTTAACTTTGTTATTTTGTACATTTCTTCAGTGTCTTTTATTTTATTTTAATTTTTAGGAATAAATAGTTATGTTTCAGTTCTGTTTTGTTTTATTTTTATTTTTTACCTACGAAATTGTAAGAACCAGATGCTTTGCGTTTATAGACTTGATACTAAATTAATATGGGAAGAACATATTATTATTAACTGTTTAATTAAATGCGTAAAAAACCTAAATGTTTTAAATGTAGTTAATCGTCACCAATGGGGCGCTGATGTTAAGGTTAATCCAATGTTTTATGTTGCATATAGATCAACTCTTGACGATGGTTGCTTTTTAAATAGGTCTAGACTTAAAAAATTAGACCGAATCCAGTGCAAAGCTCTACGTTTGGTTTTCGATGCACTTAAATCACCACCTACTGAAAATCTATTAGTCGAATGTATGGAACCTTTATTACATTTAAGACATCTTTTTTAGCTGAAAAGTTTATATTTAGATGTCAAGGTAATAACCAAACCTACCTATTGCAGAAAATATCCGACATATCTGTGTCTAACTTAGTTGACAAATAGTGGCATAACAAAAATTCTCCAACTTTAGCTATAGCATTTCCTAATGTTTCTTCCCAGCTGAAACTAATTTCTTTCAATCTAATTTTAATATTCTTTATTCCCAAACCAAGTTTATTTTCCTACTTTTGATGATAACAACGCCATTCAACTTAAGAAACAACTTGCAAATTTGATAAGCCATAGCCATTCACATATGGGTCAAAATCCATTTTAGAAGTTGGTTGTGCGGTATGTATCCAAAAAAATCAAGAACATATTATGTTTAAATTAAACCAACAATGTTTCATTTATTCCGCACAACTGCTTGCAATATATTAAGCTCTGGAATGGACTATTGAGAAGAAAATGTATGATCAACAAATAGCAATCCTGTCGGATTTAAAATCTGCATTGCCTGCTTTAAATAATTCACATAAGCATATATACAACAATAGTATTATCTTCAAAATTTTAGAAAATCAAGTAAAGCTATTTAAAAGAAATAATTCAGTCTCTTTCATTTGGGCAAAGTGTCGTGTTGGTATTTCGGGTAATACCAAATCAGATTATTTTGCTAAAGAACCGACTTCAAAAGTATTAGAAATTAGTTGCCATAATACAAGTGATTTAGTTTCGCTGCGTAAACAAGAATTAAAAGAAAACTTGGAAATTGGATGGAATGCTTTCGGTAACAGAAATAACAACTTTTTTTACAAAAATTCACCCTGCTTTATTTACCTACTTCGTCTTTCGATGCAAGAAGTCATTCCAATAGAAGAGCATATTCAATGTTTGTTAGATACCTTGGTAATCATGTTACTGTGAAGGCCTATCTTCATGGATTTATTTTAAGTGAAAAAACTCTGCGATTGTAATGGTAACACTGACGATATCAATTATTGGATATTCGGGTGCATATATAATGATGCTGCTTTTAAGTCATTATCATCATCAACTAGCCTCTAACGTTCACTGGTGGACATAGGCTCTCGCATCCTTTTCCACTTAGTCCCTGTAGTCACTCTTTTTATGTCATCTGTCCATCTCGTTGGGGGTCGACCTCTATTTCTGTAAGCTTGTATTTGGGGTCTCCATTCCAAAATTCTTTTTGTCCACCGGTCATCAACTGATCTTGCTACATGACCTGCCCAGTTCCACCGTAGTGTTGTTATCCTTTCAATAACGTCTGCTACTCCTGATCTTTTGCGTGTAGTAGCATTGGGTATTCTATCACGTAAAGAAATCCCTAACATTATTCTCTCCATTGCTCTTTCCGCAACTTGTAGTTTTGAGACAATTTCTTTTCAGACATATTGGAATTCTAGACCTAAAAATATCCTTCATCCTTCCAAATGTAGCCCAAGCGAGGTTTATTCTTCTTTTCAGCTCGATTGTTTGGTTCGTCTCGACTTATTCTGATCTCATGGCCGAAGTATTTATAGGAGTCAACTGGCTCAATATCTTTGTCTTCTACTGAGATATTTTTGTTGTGGACTAAATTTGTCATAAATTGTGTTTTTGAAAAATTTATTTTAAGACCAACTCTCTTTGTGACAGTATGGAGTTCTTGGAGCATTATCTGCGCCTGATCAAAGCTTTCTGCAATAAGAACGATATAATCTGCAAATTTAAGGTTATTTAAAAATTTGCCGTCTACATTGATGCCCTTTTCGTTCCAATCTATTGTTTTACAAGCGTATTCTAGCAAGTAAGTTGTAAATAATTTAGGAGACATGTTGTCTCCTTGCCGAACGCCTCTTTCAATACGAAAAGTCCCAGTATCTTCATTAAGTCTTACACAGGCTGTAGCATGTTGATAGATGTATCTCATGAGAGATATGTATCGGTGATCTATTCTACATTGTGTTAGAGCTTGGAGCATTTCACGTTGATTGACCGTATCAAATGCTTTTTCAAAGTCGACAAAGACAAGTATCAGGGGTCTATTATATTCAATGGTTTTTTCCAATCAACGACTTAATGGTTTGCAAATGATCATTTGTTCCATATCAGCTCTAAATCCTGCTTGCTCGCAAGGTTGATAGAAGTCTAGTTTTTTTTGTCAACCTATTAGTTATTATCTTCATAAACAAACTTATAACGTGCAATAACAAACTAATAGGTACTATAGTTCTTTAGCTCTGTTATATCTCCTTTTTGTGCATGACTACTATAACAGCTTTATTCCACTGAGATGGTATAACCTCTTTTGAAAGGCATAAGTTATATAATTGTGTCAATGCTTTCAATACTATTAAGTATCTATTGGAAAATCTGATAAAACAACAAATACCTCCTCCTAAGAGTCAATCTTCTATTTTATATATCTCTCGTTGTAGTATTAGGTCTTAACCAAATTTTTTAGGTGTATTTAAAAAGAACCAAAAGAAAAATTTGGGATGGAATTTGTAATGTGAATGTATACATGTGGCTTTGTTCCCTCTGTCTATCTACAGCTCCTTCAACAGTTTTGTAATTTTGTGGTTTTTTCAGACGACACCAGTTTTTGTTTAAATAGAGATAGCGGGCGAATTCGTATTATAAGAGCTGCACAACTAGCACATGCTCGTTCCATACTTTTTTTGCTGGTGGCAGTGTTATCTTTTGGACCGTTAATATGCCAGGCGGACGCACGGAATTGGTGTTTATTGACGGAACTCTAACAAGACAAAGGTACATCACACAGATTTTAGAACATCTTGTGTGGGTGAAAATTTTGCATTTATGGGTGATTGATAAAGCCACACGGACTCAAGCGGTTAATCGCTATCTTAAGACCAAAGGTATTCGTCATTTGGAGTGGCCTGCGATATCTCTAGACATGAACTTAATTGAACATGCATTGGGATACGCTCCCCAGAGCTGTTCATGCCGAAGGAATAATACTAGAACCCATTATGAACTTACAACTGTCTGTAGAGAAGAATGGGAGAATCTGCACAAGAAATGATTGATCGACTTGTTAGAGCTGTTATTAAATCTCGAATACAGGCTGGCATCGATGCCCGTGGTAAAATTAAACAAAGATACTACAGTATGTTTTCATTTAACAGATAAAGATCACAATCGTATTTCCCCGACTCTCCCCTTCACATTGGCATGAACTCCTGCAAGCAAGCAAGCAATTTAATTAAACTCAGCCTGTGTGAAATGTTTACTGCTAAGAATTACGTTCGGGTGTAACAATTCATTGGAGTGAGGTGTATTAACTCGAGTAAAATCAGGAGTCACTCCACCGCGATCCAATGCTCCAGACCATCCCTTTCCCCTATAGTACATGTGGAGAGTCCTGGGTAATAGAACCCTAACATGGTTTCCTAACCGAATTCAAAAGTCAGGACAGCGTATTGTCATTATATTCCTGTTAATCTTAATGTGGTTTATCCGCGAACTAAAATTGCTTACTTGAGCCTCAAATCTCCGCTCTGAGCTAGGCTCAGTTCGGCGACTTGGTTCTCAATGGGTTGGGCCCTACGTGCCCGGGTTTTTGGGGTATTTGTTAATAGTTTTTTGTGGCTTGCGCCGGTTTTTGTTAGTAGTTTTTTGAAGCATTGAGCATGAACGTCTATCATCATAGCATTGGTACGGAAAAAAATTATGGTGGGTGTTACAAAATTAGCGAGACCTAACAAAGATAACTTACATTATGTTTTCACTAAATAGACAAAAATCAAATTGATATTTACTCCTAGTCTCTTGATTAAAACACGAGTGTTTCCGATCGAATTTATCATTTTTTGGTAATTTTGGAATTAATTTTCTCTATTTATATTCATTCAATAATATTTCTATATTCAACAGAGATACCACCACAAAGAAAATACCTTCTAGAAAATCTACGAATACCTTCAGACTGTAATAAACGAGACTCCAAATGATGAATACATAATCATTATAGGTGATTTTACCGCCAGTGTTCGGCAATGATGTAGTTCCAGAAATAAAACAGCGATATAATGAAAATATTAAAAATGATTTCTGACAGACCTCATATCGCGCTATGCGCTGTCACCAGGAGAAAGTAAAAAAGGCATATTTAAAACGACACAGGATTATAAGCCCCTCGAAACGCCTTGTCGACAATTGAATAGTGGAAATAACTCGAAAACGAGAGGTTCAATATTTTTGACAAATTTATTGTTTTTAGTTGACTTGTCGCCATTTGAAAAATGTGCTAAGACAATTTAATTTGGGCGAATAAGCCACAATTTTAGTTAAAAATAAGTTTATTTTAAAGTTTTAATTTGCCCTTTGGAAAGTTAACATACTGAACCCGTTTATTTGACACCAAGTCAGAAAAAAGGTAAAAAAGAGAATCATATTAACTGAAAGGAAAGTGATAAAAAAATTAACTAATAAGGGCTCTGCTGTATCTTTCCTCAACTTGTATATGTTACAAGGAAAACTCAAAATCCTAGATGCTAGAGGATTCGTTTTAAACAATAAAAGATTTATTTTTTTTCCAAACCCAAAATAAAAAGAAATAATCATACTTACCTAGTTAAAATAATACAAATTGGTTGCTTACTAGCTATGTCTATT